CCCCAAAACCCCAAAACCCCAAAACCCCTTATTTTTTGGTTATTGTTGAAAGTTTGGTGTAATTTCATTTTAAATGTTTCCTTCAAGTTCTTCTGATTTCTCAGAAATTATGTCCTAGATGTACTGAGTGAGGGTAAGAACTCGAATGAGGAAATTTTAAGTTAGAAGAAGTCTTCTTCACATAGTTTTGGAAAATCTCAGTTTGCTTCTTTGGATTAGAGGTCCGATAAATTAGTTGAGACTCTTTTCTAACTGAAATAAAATAGAAAGTTAGCATTTATAGATTTTGAAGTTGAACGATCTTCTTTCATAACAAAGTATTTGGATTATTATTCTTTTGAGCAAAATTTGTACTTAATTTTTTAGAAATAGTCACCCATGATTTAAAGGTTGCGTGGGTAGCTTTCAAAAGACAGTTTTGTATTATTTAAGACAAATTCTAGCTGATTGAGGACTTCCTTACCGTGTCATTCTGTAATGAAGAGGTCTCCAACAATATTTGAGCATCTGGATCAATACGACGAGTAGATTCATGATTTTTATTGTTAAAAGGAGATTCTTCTTTAAGACTCATTGAGTGTTCGAACATCTCAACTTCATTCTGACTGTTATTATGTGATACTTGGTGAAATTTAGATAAGGTTTCTATGTTGTTAGAGAGGAAATCTAAAATTTATGAATGAACTGATTAAATAAAATGTATATTGTAAAGAAGCTGAGCAAACGGTCAAGATATCAGCTCATAATTGATCAAATTTTAATCTGAGAGTATGAAATTTCCCAAGTCTCATATATGCCTTACTAGAACTCTTGGGCTTGTCAGAATCGGTTAGATTTTCTGTTGGAGCTAAGGTCTCAAACTTTTTCTTAAATCCATCAATTTTCATGTCTCCTCCAAGCACATCCTGGTTTGATACACTAGGTTTCTTCTTGTACAGTAAGGCAGATTGGGCTTGAGATTTGAGGAATTTAGTCTCTTTTGTATTTATCCCTTTTGTTGAAACTTTATGCTTCAACGTTGCTCTTTTAGAATTATTGATATTAAGAATATCCTCACTAAGGATCGGTAAGCCTAATTGACTCTTCCTACGAGCAGCTAAGGTGTTATTTCTAAGAGTGCTAATCCTCCTAGCAGGAAAGGCTGGCCTGGACACTTTGGTAATTTTAGGCTCAACTTTCTCCTGCTTTAAATATGGCTTTCTCTCTGTCCTAGAAACATTCTTTTTCTTTGATGATTTTTTAATCAATTCTTGCCTCTCAAGCTGCTTTGCCTTCCTTCGTTTGTATCTTCTCCACCAGTAGCTGATGACTATGTGGGAATTTACGTACAACTTTTGGCGGATTTTGTTGAAGAATTTGAAGTTATTGACCAGACTAAAATGCTTTAGTTCATACTTGTATCTGGTATAGTCTCTGTATCCTTTCATATACTAAGAAGTCAAACACAGATGCTTACCTTTTGGATGATCACAAATGCTCTTTTCTTACGTTCTTTGATAACTTTGGGAATCATGGTAAGCATCCGATAGCGTTTCCAGGAATTCTGAATTTTTATAACGGCTTTTTCTCGTTTGATTAAGGTCTTATTTATAATTCACTCTGAAGATATAACCACGGATTATCTTCTGTATCAATATCGCAGCTCGAGCTCTGGTCTTCTTCAAGCCCTTCTTTAGTAACATTTCTTCAAGTTGATCGCTGCTAAATTTCCGTATTTGGGAATACTTAGCGTGAACTCCAAACCTGTGTTTGAAAAATTTGGCAACCATATTATTTGGTCTTGATTTCGTTAAAAATTCTCATTTTCTGCTGCTCTTTTCTTTCAAGGCTCCTTTTGTGGTTCTTTTCACGTCTGAATTTGAGTTTGTAACTATCAATTCTGGTATTTTCGTACATTGAATTGTGGAAGCTGTTTATGAATTTATGAGTTTTCCCATTCCAGCATGAGTTTTGGATGCTCTCAGAAGCCTGATTAATTCTCATAGCGAGGTTCAGATGCCTAAGCTGTGCTTTTTTGGAGACGATATGTTCCTCCTTGATTCTAACTATGCTCTGGTGATTCGTTGAAGGCTTGAGCCGATACCTGCTTGTATTTAGGCTTTGCTTTCTGTCTCTTTTTGGAGTGAAGTAGTCATTAAGACTTAATTTATTTCCTTTGAAATCTATTAGAAATTGACTTGTTAGCCACTTCAATATCTTTGATACTATTGATGGTCTCGAACCTGCTAAAATTAGGGAATCGAGAGCTTGTGTTGCAGAGCCTGTCCTCCTTGATACTTCAAGAAGTGTCCGGTTGAGATCTGAGCCTATCCGCACTCATCTTGATGCTTACTTTTCTTGATCTTTGATGGTTGAAATTAGCATTACTAAATATCTCTTTCACAACTTCTTGATGTGTTGTGGCTATGAAAATTTTCAAAAGGCTTTTTTATGAAATTTCCTGAGTTCTGACTGTTTCCTATGAACTATAGATAATTATTATTTTAGACAGTTGAGTCTAACTTGTTTAATTAGGGTAGGATAATTTGTATAGACAGGGCTCTTCGATGAGAACTGGTAATACATTAAAATTTGGAATCAAACAAGCCAAAGCTTGTTCTTATGAATCATGAAGATAATTATGATTTTAAGTTTGCTACCATTTCAACTTCGTTTAAGTTTTTATTTATATTATTTCAATTTTATCTTTAAACTTTGGGGTTTTGGGGTTTTGGGGTTTTGGGGTTTTGGGG